AGTAGGCAGGACAGGAGAGGTCTGCTGGGCCATATGTGTCAGTTCCCTGGCTGACTGAATTTAGGCCTTTGCTGTGATAGTCCTGAGACATTATTCTTCGACCATGTGAGAGGCCCTATTTAGACTTTTCTAATCCCAAGACTCATATTGGAGTGTAGTTACCTATGCCTTGTTGGTTTATCAAATTGATTTTCTTCTACTGAAATCCAGACACCATTACACATTAAGATTGCAAAAAAAAAGGCACTGATTTCAAAAGTTGCCATAGATGTATGGGTTACAAACAGTTACTCAACCACTGTCTGAATTCTAACTGTAGAGCTCAATCTAATGTGTAGAATTATATCCTCCACCATTTGTAGTCTTCACAACACCTCACACACATCTCATTTGATTCTCCCCATGAACCCAGTGCTAATGATAGAAAATTGGCATACACACACACATGTGGACCAAATATCTTGTACAATCCAACATGTCAAACACCTTTTTACAACCCCTTGGCCTATCACTTTTCTCATACCATGACTGTTGCAACCAGCCTTGCCCACCATAGATACAACCTTTGACAAAAGGAAACACCTCAGCTGTGCTGCTCTCACCTGCTTTCCATCCCAGGTTTCTCTGTCACTGAGACCCCAGGCTACATTGAGCCACAGGCAAATGTGGAAGTGTAATGTTGTCAACACCCCAGAGCAGCCTTGAAGGCTAGGGGATAGGATCTAAGGAATATACACTCTCCTGCCAGCACTGGTGGGTAGTTTTGAGGTACATTCTCTATAGCTCCAGGGAGGGCCCTGGCAGCACTGAAGCTCAGCTGCCCCCAGTCACCTTCTTTAAAACACATCCTTGCATCAGCTTCCTTGTTTGATTCTCCAATTCATCGTGCCCATTCTGCTTCATTGGCTTAATCATAGTTAGTATATTCATCAAGTAAAGTTGTATTCCCTGAAAACCATCCATCAAACTCTGTCATAGGAGCTGCTTTGTGGGAAAATCCAAGTTTAAATAACGTATAAAAACAAATTAGAAAAGAGTCAGTTAATGCTGGAATCAGAAATGAGGTTTTTTATCTTCTTATGAAAATGAATTCTTAAGTCAGAATAACTTGAGTTTGAAGCTAGCTGAGATGCATTATGAGAATAGAGTTTTCTGAGCCTCAACTATTAAGTGGGAATGTAACAATAATAGTATAGCAATGGCCAGCTTTTACTGAGTGCTTCCATGCTCAGACACTGTTAAAAAGAATCCCAAAGATATATCATATGTATGATAAAGGCTATATATTAAAAATCCCTGGGCCTTCTCTGGTGGTGCAGTGGGTTAAAGCACAGCACTAAGAAGCTAAAGCCACTTCTGCATGAGTTTGATTCCCGCCTGCCCCGGAGGTGACCAAATAAAACACCCTGGGCCCTCCCTGGTGGCGCAGCGGGTTAAAGCACAGCACTAAGAAGCTTAAGCCACTTCTGCATGAGTTCAATCCCCAGCCCCGGAGATGTCTTACATGGCACGGCAGACCTCTCCTGACCAGCCCGCTGCTCCCCTCAGCAGTGTACTTTTGTCAGTCTGCCTTTCCTTTCCTGCTCCCCGACTCTGTGTCTGGTGAATCCTCTCACTGCCCCTGAACCTCTGGCCTGCACCCCAGTTCTGTATGCACAAATAAATAACTCTTAAAAAAAAAAAAAAAACCCTCATAGCCAATATGGACACAATGTTCTAATAACTTAGATCAGGCCCAAATTAGAAAGAGCAAGTAAAGATGGACAACCATATGGGTAAACAGAAGGAATATTTTAGCAATAAATGACTGAAATGACATAGATTTACACATACTTTATAATTGTCCCACTTTCTCACGATCATAAAGCAGAACTTCTAACAAATAATTTACAGGGTGTGGCCTCTTAGAAAGAGAGCCCTAGTTCAGCTCTGGCAATGTGACCAGTTTGAGAAGTCAAAGCCATTGGTATTTTCTGTTGGGCCCAGGAAAGGAAAATCTCACCAAGGAAGCACTAAATAATAAACTTCAAGCAATTTAACTTTCTCAGTTCTCAAATTTCTTACACCATAATATGAAAGAATTATTTTTCCCTAAGAGCCAAAATATCCTTCTGTTGACTGAGTGTGTCCATCCCACAACCATATGTTGAAATCAACCTCTTTTCAAAGGTGATGTTAAATATAACATCCTGTAAGTGGCCATTTGGGAGTTAACTGGGTCATGAGTTTGAGCTCTTAGGAATGAGGTCCCTGGCTCCTTGCACCAAATGAGGACACAGCAAGAAGATGTCAGGTAAGGACCAGATAGTTGACTTTCAAGTGACCATACTGGTACCTTGAACTTGGATTTCTCAACCTCAATCTCTTATGAACAAGAGATTTCTGAATGTGAGATACCCAGGTTGTGGTATTTTTTCATAGAAACCTTTGTTTTAGCAATGGACTAAGATACATCCTTAAAAAAAAATCCTCTTTTTAGTGGCATTAAGGCATAATTGCCTTGAGATAACCATGAAATGTGTACCGAGATTCCAAGATCTTAAAAACTAGTAAAAATGCTTCTTAAACTTATAGTGAAGAGATATTTTGGTTTAAAACTATATATCTTTTTATAATTAAATGTACTAGAAAAGGGAAGAGATGAAAAGGAAAAATTCCTAAAATGTCCTCATTTCAGTTACATTCCTCTGATATTGTGTTCCTATCACTGAAGAAGGAATTTTTCTTACTCTGAGTCGTAGAAGCTCAAAACTACTGATGGGCATGAACTTCTTTCTAAATGGTGGTATCTGCTAGCTGACTGATCTGCTGGGTGGTCACTGAGAGCTGACCTGTCCCTAGGGGGCTTGGTTGGGTGTGGGTAGAGAAAGGATGTGGTCTATAGGCCTGAGAGGTCACTAAGTCAATGAAGATATCACACAAGTAATTGTAGGAATTTTCCTGTGATGGATAAAGCCCTTTGGCCTTGTCCCATAAAAG